GGAGCCCAGCAGGTTGAGGCTGCGGTGGCCAGGAGCGTGCCACTACACTCCAGTCTGGGCAACAGAGTGAAACTCCAATTCAAAAAAAAATAAAAATAAAAAAAGATTTCAGGTCATTTCAAAAGGTCTCGTGCTGTGACTCACCTTAAAAACTGTTTAAATTAGCCGGGCTCGGTGGCTCAGCCTGTAATCCCACGCCTTTGGGAGGCTGAGGTGAGTGGGTTGCCTGAGCCCGCGGGCTCGAGACCCGCCTGGGCAACTTGGCGAGACCCCATCTCTACAATAAATCAAAAATATTAGCCAGGCGTGGTAGCGTGCGCCTGTAGTTCCAGTTACTCGGAAGGCTGAGGCAGAAGGATCGCCAGAGCCCAGCAGGTCGAGGCTGCGGTGGACGGGAGCGGCCACTGCACTCCAGTCTGGGTGACAGAGTGAAACTTCAACTCAAAAAAAAAACTGTTTAAATTGATGGAACTTATTAACCAGAGCTGTGAGAGAAACCAGGCAGGTAAGAGGCACTGCAGCTTAAACTTCATGAGCTTTGGGGTAAACTTGAACTTTGGACCTGACACAGGTGCCCAGAAGAGGGGACACTGGGATACGAGAAGACAGGTGACGGGTTCAGCAATTTACAGAGACAAGGGATAATTTGTTGCTTGTTATTTATTACATATAGGAAAAGTCCTAACTCTACAACTACTTGAAACAACTGTCATGATGTGGACAGCAAAAAGAAAATACCAGCTGATGCCGACACAAGCCTAGCCAGGCAATGGGTGATCACAGCATTGCTCTGGGTAGGAACACGGGTAACAGTGTACCATTTGGGGCCACAGGAAGTGAGGTGCTCTAATAATAAGGAAAGGGGGGAGCTGAGATTTGCTTGGGTCTGCAAAACAAGCATGAATTCAGGTAGTGACGGGAACACGCCTGCCTGTGTCGGATAATTCAGTGGGTACTCGTTTGGCCTGCCTGGAAAGTAGTCTGGGTGGTCTGTGGTTGGAGGAACTGATCTCACACTCAGGACAGACTGAGAGTGATTCCTGAGAAGTGGAGTGAAAATCTCAGATGTCATCTCCATGGAAAGGGGGAAATCGTGGGATTTTTCATCAGATTATAATTGATCGGAAGGCATGGAAGATGATATCAATTTTCACTGTCTTACGTATCTTGAAAACTAGCACAGGGGTCAGTCAGCACATAGTAGATGTTCATCGAAGATTTTGTTTATACTAGGAAGTGCATTACAGGCTGGGGGTGGGGTTGGGGACCTGGTGGGATAGGATGGGTGTTTTTTGTTTTGTTTTGTTTTTGAGTTGGAGTCTCACTCTGTCACCCAGACTGGAGTGCAATGGCCACTCCCAGCCACCGCACCCTCGACCTGCTGGGCTCCAGCGATCCTTCCGCCTCAGCTTTCCAAGTAGCCGGAACTACAGGCACGTGCTACCACGCCCGGCTAGTTTTTGATTTATTG